GAGAAGGCGCCAAGGGCCGTCCGAGACGCGCGAGATCACAAGGACCCCAAGGACGAGAGCGGCAGGAGCGTCCCCGACTTTGGCCGGCAGCAGCTCCTGCCCCCCTTCCCGGCCCTTCCCCCGTCTCTACCTCAGAACCAGTGCCACGTGGCCACCACGAAGGCCCAGACAGGTAAGGCACCAGCACCCATCGTGCGTGCCTGGTGCGGCCCCGGCGAGTGGCCGCGGGAGTCCGCAGCTGCCTCGTGGGTCGGCCCAGCTGGGGCCTCTGTTCCCAGCCACTCCTGACCCCGCATGCTCTCCTGGCCTGTTTTGGATGAAGACCGTTTTCTCTACCACTGTCTTTCTGAACTGGTCTAATTGGGTGGAAGAAGGTACCCGAGGGCATCCAGCGTGTGGCAAAGTGCTGCGGGGAGCGTGCGGCGGGCGGGAGGCCGCCAGCTCCTACCTGCCAACAGCCACTTCCCGTGGGCTCTCTGCCCACTCTGCACTCACTGCTCCGTGTCTGTGGGCAGGGGAGTGGGCAGGCACTCGGTCACTGCGGGGTCCCTATGGGCTCTCTGCAGGCTGTGGGTACGCAAGCCCCGAGACTTCTGGTAATCTGGGCCTCAAAATGAGGGCGCCCTGGGCTTCCCCCTGTTGCTCTAGGATGCACGTGTTTGGCAGGACTAAAAGGTTGGCGATGCACAGGGATTGGGACGGTCCCCGAGGAGGCTGCTGCCCGCCTGCAGGGCAGCTCATGGACCACGCCGCGACTGGCCGTGCTGCGCTGCCCTCCAGGCGTGTGCACATGCCTTTTTCTAGACTCCAAAATACTTGCCTGTTTTTTATTTTATTTGTGATGGAAAGCGTGTGTGAGACGGGGAGTAGATGGGCACCCTCCACAGGTTCTCACTGTGCTCCGACCCCATCCCCAGCCCTTTCGCTTGTCAGGGTCCTGGGCATGTGCACGAGCCCGTGTTGCTGGTCAACTCGACTGGGGACCCGAGCTCTGACCAGCCCCATGGCTTCCAGCCCTGGAATTCAGGATGGCAAGATTGCCTCTGCCACTGAGGCTGCCAGCTGAGAGGAGGGAGGACCACCTCGCGCCCTGGGGTGCTCGTGCTGCAGGCCCTTCTCCTCACATCTCTGCTGTGCGAGGGTTTCCAGCATGCACACACTCCTGGCCCTGTTTGTAGCTGCTGAGGCTGGGATTTGAACCCTGATTGGCCATTCGAGGTCTGACTCACCTGAACCACTAGGCCATGGGACTAGCTCCCAGGTACTTCTTACTTTGGAGTCGTTTCAGATTTCCAGCAAAGTTGCAAAAATTCTGCCAAGAATTCTCATGCAATCTCCACTTGTTTCACCCCTTGACACAGTCATGTCTCCTCATGCCATCTTTAACTTTTTCTGAAATACGAATGCAAGTTGCAGAGGTGGCCTCTTCTAAATATGTCAGTGTTACTTTCTAAGCATAGCAGTGCTATGTCCCTAAAATGAGGACATTCTCTTAGATAACTCCAGCATAGCTATGAGACTCAGGAAGTGAGCTTTCATGGCCCTGTTATTTAGGGCCCTTATCCAGCCTTTGCCAGGTGCCCATCAGCGTCTGTTACAGCGAAAGGAAGGCGGGCTCTGTCCTGGGTGCTGCTGCCCTGCTGCCCTGCGGTGCCTCCGGCTCTCCACCTCCACCCGCGAGACCTCGGCCTTGATGAGTGCAGCCAGGCTCTCTTAGGGTGCGCCTGGTGAGCTTCAGGTCAAGGGTCAGGTCCAGGTCACAGAATGGCACAAGTACCTGGGATGTATCCTATGGGGGTTGCATTTAGAGGCCCTTTGTCCTGTTACAGCCAGGAGGGGCGTGTAGGACCCTTGACCTTATGTTCCCCCAAATTGTAGTCAGCACAGAACTTTGGGGGAGTTTGGAAGCCAGAGATTCTGCAGGTGTCCACTCCCATCACAGCCCGCGACCACGGATGCACCGTGGTGCCAGACGGCGACTAGGGCTTCGTCACTCCCTCCCTGACGAGAAGTTGAGCTTCTGCTGTAAGGAAGGGCTTCACAGACTTCCCACGCGCTCACCCGCCCTCCTATCTGTGCACCTCCTTGAAGCGTTGACTTGGGAGCTCTGCCTGAGTTTCTGGCTGGCACCCATTACTCTCAGTCTCTCACTGCCCGAATTGCCCCATGTTTGGCCAGTGGTTACACCTGCAGGCTGCTTCTCTGGTCCTTGGATGTGACCCATCACTTTCCAAGGATTGACTTTCTTTTCTTTCTTTCTTTCTTTTTTTTTTTAGACAGAAATGTTTGCTATAACGTGCATGTGGTAGCTGGAGAGACAGAAATAGAGAAAGTGAGAAATTACCCCCGGGGGGGATGGCCTCCCCACAGTCCCTTCTCCCCATTCTCCTCTCAGGATTTTGGGCCCGCACGCACATGGCAACCATAGTTTCCGGCTGCCGGGTCTGGGATTCGAACCATGGTTGGTCATGTGAGAGTTCAGTGCCTTAACCACTACTCTACCTGCTGGCTGCTTCAAGGACTTTCTTTTCCTTTAAAGAGAGAGATTTTTGCTATAGGGTGTGTGCATTCACCGGCAGGATAGAGATAGAAAGTGAGAAATCATTTCCCGGGGTGATGACCGCGCCCGCAATCCCCTCTCTTCCATTCTCCTCTCAGGATTTTGGGCACGCACGCACATGTGCCTGGCATAAGGTTTAAGCTGCTGGGTCTGAGACTTGAACCACAGTCACCTCCGTGGGAGTCCAGCAATGTAACCGTTGCGCCTTCTGCTGCCCCGAGGACTTTCTGACTTCACAGCATGGTCCAGACTCCCTCTTGTTCTCTTTCTTCTCAGTCCTGGAATTTTCCCTTTTCTCTAAGCAGCCCTGATTCTTTCAGATGGAACGTGGTCAGAGAACAGATCAGTCTTTGCTCTTCCCTACTCCCTTCCCTTCTGACCGTTTGACTGAGATTGTGTGTTCCCAGCGGGTAAGCCTGGCGTCCGTAAAGCTCCGTGGAGTCACACTCATGCATGTGAGGCCTGGGAGGAGTAGGAGTCGCACTTCTGTCATGGTTGGGTACCTCCCCTATTTTAGCTTTGTTGTTTCATCGTCGTTTAAACAGAGTGTTATAAAGTGCAGAGCTCCGTGTGTTTGCCAGCCTCTGTCCTGCCCTCTGCCACCCCCATTCTGCATCCCATTCTGTCTGAGCTCGGAAGACTGAGGCTGCCTGTCTCAGTCCAGGCGTGGCCCGTCACCTGGCCGTAGCTGTGCCTCAGCTCCTCACTCGGCTCTGCCCCATGATTGCAAGTGCTATCCAGCCCAGCGACTCCTCTGGCTACCACAGGGGTTGTCCTGTCTCCCGGGGAGCAAGGGCAGGTGGCAAGAGCCCTAACGGCTGCCCTGAGTGTCTCCTGAGGGGCCTTGTCCCAGTCTCAGGGTGCCTTTCTTCACTGCTAGACTCTCTTGAGCCCTCAGTCTGGAGGTGGGGGTCCTGAGGGACGAGCTGCTGGGGGCCAGGCGTCCTGGGTCAGGAGGGTTTGTCCAGTCCACTTGCTGGGTGGTGGGGTGGACGCAGGTCAGGAGCAGCGGCGGAGCAGCCTCTGCCCTGTCTGTCTCCGACCTCGCTCCTTTGTGTGCTGCGAGCCTTGCCTCCCGGGAGCCAGTTCCCTGTCAGGCACTCACAGCCTGAGGGCTCTGCCGTCTCTTCCTGTGATGTTCACGGAGGGTCTGCTCCCTCCTCCCACCTGCCACCCCATGAAGCTTCTACAAGCAGGGATGATGGCAGGGCCAGGGCGGCATGCTGGTCTCAGGTGCCTGCACAGCTGAGTGCGTAGTGCGGCGTCTTCCCGGGGCAGCCTAGTTAGGGTCAGGCCTGAGGTGGCCGTGGTGCTTTGGGCCCTTGTCATTGTGTTCTGCTGCTGTTCCGGAGTACCAGAGACTGGGTAGTTATCAATGATATGACAGTATTTTTTTGGAAGAATTACTTATTTAATTTAATTTATTATTATTATTTAATTTTACTATAGGGTATGTGTGTTCATTGGAAAGAGAAAGAGAGAGAGGGAAAGTGACAAAGCAAGCCACCAGGTCTGGGACTTGAACTGTGGTTGGCCATATGGGACTGGCACCTTAACCTTCACTACCACCCACCTGTTGGTTCCAATAAGGCAATATTTTTTACAGTTCTGGATGCTGGGAAGTTCAAGGTCGTGGGGCTGCATGATGGTGCATTCTGACTGCACACGCCTTGGCAGAAGGAAGAAGAGCCAGGAGCCCCCGTGGGAGTGAGATAGGCGGGGCCGAGGCGGGCCTTCCCCAGGAGCCTGCACCTGAGATAGCCCCGCTGTCTCTCCCTCCCTCGGGGTGGCAGTGGGATTTTAGCTTGAGTTTTGAAGGGCTCCTTTGCTCATTCAGACTATAGCAGGTTCTTTCTCACCTTTCCTGACTGGGGCACGCCAGAGCGCCGGGAACAGGGGGACTCCGTGTACGAGAGTCCTGGCTGGCGTCTCTGGAACATCCCAAGTTTAGCTGGAGGCAAACCCGAGTTCCCGGCAGAGTGGACTAGATTCTTTGTTAGCGGCTTGTTCTGGCTTCTTTTCCAACTGCAGAAGTGTATGATTTAAAAACCAAGCAAGCAGGGCCGGCTGGCAACGTGGTGGTGAAAGGTGCTGGACTCCCACATGGCTGACTGAGGTTCGAGTCCCGGACCTGGTGACTTGCTTTCTAACTTAACCGGTCTCTTTCTCTGTCTCTCTTTGGTCAAATTGGAAAATAATAAATAAAGATAAATAAGATAATTCTTAAAACAAGCAAACAAACCAAAACCAAAACAAAACAAAACAAAAGGCCTTACTTCAGAGGCTGTGGGAAGATGATAGCAGGGGAAGCATAAGGGCTCTGTCCCTCAGATCGCAGGGCCCTGGGAGCCAGCCTCAGCTCCCTCTGGTTCACACCGCTGGTTGGAGATTTGTAACTCCAGGGGAGGGCGTGGGTAGCTTGGGTAGTTAAATTCTGTTATTTCCGGTCTCGCCCAATAGCAGCTACTCTAGTGAGTGGCAGAACTCAGGTCCTCCTTACCAGTACTCACTGTAAATGTAAACAGATTAAAATCTCCGAAGGACCATGGACCAAATGCCTAAAACACTAATTCTATTATATGAGTCTACAGGAGGCCCACTTTAAATCCAAAGAAACAAACAGATGAACGTGAAAGGCTAGAAAATGATATTCCATGTGAATGGCATCCAAAAGAGAGGGGGTGATTTCTCGCTTTCTCTGTCTCTCCAGCAAGTCCATGTGCTCTATAGCAGAATTCTCCCTAAAAAAATTATTTTTGTGTATGAAAATCACTAGTCACAGTGGGACCAGCAGTTAGCGTAATGGCTATGTCACTGGACTTCCATGTAGTCGACTGCGGTTCATGTCCCGGACCCAGTGGCTTAAACGCCCACTGGGCGTGTGTGCGTGTGTGCCCAAGATCCCAAGAGGAGAATGGAGGGGAAGGGATTGCGGCGTGGCCATCCCCCCTGGGGGGTGATTTCTAGCTTTCTGTCTCTCTTGTCTTTCTGGCGAGCACATGCGCCCTATAGCAAAAGAAAGAAACTCTCCAAAAGAAAAAAAATATCACTAGTCACAGAGTGGAAAGACAACCCACAGAATGGGAGAAGAGATTTGCAAATGCTATATCTGGAAAGAAATTCCTATCCAGAATATACAGAAGTCTTACAGCTCGATAACTACAAAAAAAAAAAAAAAAAACCAACAAAAAACAACCCGATTAAAAAAAAAAAACAGGCAAAGGACTCAAATAGACATCTCTGCAGAAGATGTGCAAGTGTTCCGTGAGCTGGATCAAGAGGCCAGGCAAAGCCAGTCAGAACCGCGCCAGGGTGCCACCTCGGGCCCTTGAGGATGGCTGCTGTCACCGCAGAGCAGGGTCAGCCGGGATGCGGGAGTTTGGGGCCACTTACACTGCTGGGGCATCGAAGGTGTGTGGCTACTGGGGAACAGAAAGGCAGTTTCTTAGGAGATTAGCCCCAGATGAGTCAGTCGCGCTTCTGGTGTGCCCAGAAGTGCGTGAAGCGGAGTGTGAAAGAGATGCCTGCTCACTACGCCAAGGCAGCTCCGTTCCCAGCAGTGATGGCTCGGAAGTGACCACGGGTCCAGTAACAGCCTCAGCAGGGTGCTCCGACATGGATGGCCTTGAACCCCAGGCTGAGTGAAGTGAGGCACGAGAGGGGCCGAGTCTGAGAGAGTAAAGGGCGCCTGCAGCTTGCCAGGAGCTGGGAGGGAGAACAGAGAGGGAGTTAATGAAGAGGGTCAGCTGCGGTTCTAGTCCCAGATCAAGCAGCTTGAAAATCATGCCAGGCCCATGTGCGTGTTTGCCCCAAATCCCGAGGAGGAGGGGTTGCTGCGTGGCCACCCCCCCTGCCTGCCAGGGGATGATCTGTTTCCTTCTTTCTGTCTCTAGTGATCGCACATGCCCTACGGCAAAAACTTTTTTTTTTTTGGAGAGATTTTTGCCGCAGGGCGTGTGCTGACCAGAAAGACAGAGACAAAAAGCTAGAAATCACTCCCCAGGGGGATGGCCATGCTGCAATCCCTTCTTCTCCATTCTCCTCTCGGGATCTTGAGCACATACGTACACGGCCCGGCCACAGTCAACTACGTGGGAGTCCAGTGACATAGCCATTACATCAACTGCTGGTCCCTTTTTTGTTTTTTTCCTGCAAAAATTTACAAAGAGAGGTTAAGATGGTAAACTTGATGCTCTGTGTGTTTTACTACAACTCGAAAGGTGGAGAGTGCCCGTATTCCATGGAGCAAGCTGAGTCCCACGCGGAGTGGGCTGTGGCCTGTGGCCGAGGACCTGTGCCGACCGGCTCTCCGCACTCCTGGGCAGAGGCTGCGTCTGCCCACCTGCTGTATGTGCGATGCCGGGCGATGGGGAGCTGGTGCCCAGTCTAAAGCTCAGGCACTTGCGGTCTCCATGGGGGCTGGTCAGACAGGGAGGAAGGAGGGAGGTGGCTCTAAATGTCTGGGGACAGGACTATGGAAGGGGCTGCCCAGATCTTGCCCCAGTGGTCCCAAGGAGGCCGCAGCCGCAGCTGTGCTGCCCGCAGTGCACCTGCATTTCTATGCATGTGCTCTCCCTTGCCTCCTGCCCTTCCTGCCTGTCTGCTGTCACCACCTCTGCTCCACCAAACTCTCGTCATCATTGGAGTAGCTCTGGGCAGTGATCTCCCCATGTTGTCCCTCCGGAACTGTCTCCCTGGGCGTCCTGGGAGAGGTCAGTCAATGACGTGGCTGTGTTGAGTACACTGAGTACGCCTCCTGTGTTCCTCCAGGTCCTGATCACGCTCGACCCCAGCCATCTGCCTCAGGCCTAGTCCCTGCCTGGAAGTAGTGGAAGGGCCTCCCCTGCGTGCTGAGCTGGCCCCTCTCTAGGCTTCAGCCACTGTGCGCACAGGCTCTAGTGCTTGATAGAGCACACGCTGCTTTGGTTGGAGAGATTTTTGCTATAAGGTGCATGCACTCACTGGGGAGACAAAAGCAAGAAATCACCCCCCAGGGGACATGGCCACACTGCAGTCCCTTCTCCATTCTCCAGGATTTGGGGCACCACACACACAAGCCCCTGGGAACAGGACTTGAACTGCGGTCAGCCATGTTGTAATCCAGCTCCTTAACTACTTTGCCACCTGCTGGCCACTGTATCATGCATTTCTCAAGGTCGCTCAGAGACCTTTCTGTGCTACTCCGCAGTGCTGTGAGTGCTCTCCCGGAGGAGCAGGCCTCCTGCGTGTGGCTAGCCATCATTCCCAGCAGACACAGCCTGGCTCCGCTCTAGCAGTGAGGTGCAGGTCTGCCCTCGCTCTGTGGTCCTCGCAGGGGTTGGCAGGCTGCCCTTGGGAGTTGACTTGACAGCCCCTAGCTCGGCGTGTCCCAGGCACTGAGGCGGCCCTCAGCGGGGTGGGGACTGTCTTTACAGAACAGCAGATGCCCTGGTCTGTGCCAGGAATTACCGCAGCTAATGAGATGCAGCGAGAAAACAGGTGTTCCAAAGAAGAGTGACTAGAGTAATCTGATTAGCCCTAGAGCTTCCCTCCCCCTCCAAAAAACTTCCAACACATCAAGGTGAGCTTATGCTGTTCACGCGGCCCAGGACAGTGCTGTCGCTGCTCCACAGCCTCTGCACATGGCCGGCCAGGCTTCCATGCCATGTCCTGGGCGCTGGGTCCCCACCCCACCTTCTCCGTGTGCCACCTCCTGCCATGGAGCCCAGAGCCTCCCTGAGCCCCCTCCCTGCAGGCTCTGGTCTTGTCACTGCGGTGCTGTAGGAGCTCGGGAGCCCTCGGCCCCTCGGCCCCTCACTGCCACTGCGATTTGCAGACCGTGCCCCAGGCTTCTGGCCCCTGGTCTGAGCAGTGGACTTGACCTTCCCTCCCTGGGTGTGGGCAGCAGAGGGAGGGGAGTGCTGGGAGAGGGGCACCGTGGGGTGGGATGGCAAGAGGACTGACTGCCCTGGCAGTGGGTCCTGCATGCCGAGAGGACATGGTCACAGCTGAGGGCCCAGGTGGGGTACTCGGTGCCCTGTGCTGAGGGTTCATGCGTCTCCTGCCTGCAAGGAGGGTGGTGATTGCTCGGTCTTCCATTGTGAGCGAGACAGAGGTCCAGGAAGGGCCCCAGCTTTTTCGCCATTTCTCATGAGCAAGGGTGCCTGTCCCCGGGTGTGTGGGCCCCCAGGAATGGGACCTGAGCAATGGGATAAGCTGATGATTTTGGTAATTGGATTCTGTGACCTACCTTTAAAAATCACTTGAATGGTATTTCTTTTCTTTTCTTGTCTCCTTTTGACTTTTTTTTTTTTTTAGCTTGCTTGCCTTTTGTTTTAGCAGCTGCCATGTCTCGGAAGAAAAAACGAAGAATGGGGACCTATAGCCTGGTTCCCAGGAAAAAGACCAAAGTTCTAAAGCAGAGGACGGTGATTGAGATGTTTAAGAGTATAGCTCCCCCCACAGTGGGCTCCAAGGTAAGAGGGACACCGAGCAGCTTGCCATGTGGGCTTGCCCTCCTTGGCCAGGAGAGTGCCACATGAGGCTGGCAGCAGCGCAGGGCCCTGGTCCCTGCAGAGGGGCCGAGTGCAGCAGCACCTTGCCCCAGGGCGACAGTCTCAGGCCCAGGTGGACCCCAGACACCCCAGCTCACCTCCCTGTCCTCTTCTCCCCTGCCTGCCGGGCTCTACTCCAGGCTGTGGGGTGCCTCTCTTGCCTCCCAGGCAGCTCCCACACCTCCCGGTCTCTGGCCCGCCAGCGCACGCTGGCAGGTCCTACGTGAGGGGTGCACCTCTGTGTTCCAGGGGGAGAAGGACCTGGCCGACAGCACCCTGCACATGAATGGGGAGAGCCTGGACATGGACTCGGAGGAGGAGGACTCGGAGGAGCTCGAGGAGGACGAGGACCACGGGGCCGAGCAGGCGGCTGCCTTTCCCACTGAGGACAGCAGGACTTCTAAGGAGAGCTCGTCTGAAACCGACCGAGCCCACAAGGTGGGACCCGGGGCCAAGGCGGGTTCTCTGGGCCCTCTCGCTCGCCTGACTTGGGTTTTGCACCTCACCCCCCTCAAATGGCTAGGTGAGCTTACTTACCCAGAGGTGCTGCTGTCACTGAGGGAGGCCCTGTGCTCCCTCCAGCCTGGCAGGACAGGCACGTCACTCATGGCTGCATGTGCTGGCGGCAAGCCGGGCCATCCCAAACCCTCCATGCGGCTGTTGCACCCCTGCTGCTCCGTGGGCATGCGTGTCCAGGGCCTCTGACCATACCATTGGTGTGTGGACGGCCAGTGTGTGAACGGGCCCAGCTCCTATTGGGCCCTCCTGGGCGTGTGTGCCCTCGGCCTCGTCTCAGCTGTGCAGGTACCCCTGGGTGGTCTTGGGGAGACTGAGGAAGTGCTCGGTGGTGGGGTTCCTGAGCGGGCGCAGGACTATGCCCCTCAGTTCTGGAGGGGGTGAGTCAGGAGGGACATCTTCGACAGGGGACCATGGGAGTGAAGAGTCAGGCTGGGTGCCATGGTGGTTACGGCACTGGCTCCCAAACAGCCAACTGCAGGGTTTGAGTCCCAGGCCTGGTGGCTTGAAAAAGCACACTGGGTGCTTGTGCATGCCCAAAATCTCAAGAGCAGATAAGGAGAAGGGATTGCAGTGTAGCCATCCCCCTCGGGAGGGTGACTTCTCACTTTCCTTCCCCCTCTCTGGTGAGCACATGCACACCTTAAAAGAAAAAGAAAAAAAAAGAGGGTCAACAGGTGACATGGTAGTTGAGATTCCCACATGGCTGACTTCAGTTTGAATCCTGGACCTGAGGCTTGCTTTCTCTCTCTCTCTCTCTCACACAAACACACACACACACACACACACACACACACCCCTGCTGATTTCTCTGGTGAGTGCATGAGCCGTGTAGCAAATTTAAAAAGAATAGTAATGATAAATAAAATTAAATAATAATTAAAAAGCAAACACTATCAAGCTCACCAATATCTGCCTGTTTAAATGCATTATTTACATGCACTCACTGTGCATCATTACATGGGACGCGGCTTCCCGCCTGTAGTGCCGTGTGCACATCACAGTACGCGGGGTGTGGCTTCCCGCCCGTAGTGCCGTGTGCACATCACAG